GCGATGACCTTGTCTTCGCTTGACGACTGGAGGCTGCCCACAGGTTTTGTAGAAACCTGGCCAGATAGGATCCATCCAAGCTTTGTATTTTGTGCTACAGGTGTGCCTGGAGGACCCTTGATTAAGCCTTCAACTAAAATCTGGCTGAGTATATCAGCTCCCAGAAGCAAGTCAATTTTATTGGGAATGTGAAACTCAGGATCTGCTTATTGTACCCCTATTAATTGTGGATACATGTCAAAATTAACTCTACGAGTTGGTAATATTGATGTTAATTTGTTCAATACATGAGCCCTGACGACTACAACATAATTGAGATCATGTATTGATTGAAGTTTGAAGCAAACTGATGATTTCGACACTACAGAGTCGCTGTTATCCCCAACACCCGAAATAACGGTTTTCGCAGGTAACTTTTGAAGACCAAGCGATTGCACAGCGGCCTCTGTAATAAACGAGGCTTGAGATCCTTGATCAATCAAGGATCTGAGAGTACAGTGATTTCCTGACTTTGACTATATTTTAACTAAGGCAGTAGCTAAGAGTACTTGGCTGTGAGCATTTGAGTAACATGCTACTACCTGATCAACATCCTCGGTAACATCAGTGCTACCTGACTAGGAAAGTAGTGGCTACGACTATGGCTCTCTTGTCAACGGATGAATCATCATTGTTTTCCGTTGATTTTGGAACATTGAGGTGCAATAATGAATGGTGTTTCTTCTTACATACGCGGCATCTAGAGGCTTGACGGCACACAAACACAGAGTGATTCGGACCCATACAATTGAAGCACAAGTTATTGGTCTGAATAAAATTACGACGTGCTTCAACACTTTCTTTAGCAAAACTTTTGCAGTTGCCTATTTTGTGACTTTCTGAACAAAATACACAAGAAATTGCTGTGGCATGATGAACTTTAGTATTCACAGCATTACTTGTATAACGAACGACATTTGGCTTTGGAGTTTTCGGTAAAAAATCTAAGGAACGAAATCTATTCTCTAAAAATTCTTTGAATTGATGCATTGATGGGAGGTCATCAAATGAGCTTATTTGAGTTTCCCATAGTTTGCGAGACTCTGCATCTAGTTTTGAACTAATAATAAAAATTACAATTGCATCCCATGAATTAGTACCAAGACCTAAATTTTTTAACCCGTTTAAACAGTCAACAGTTGTATCTAATAAGGACTTGATAGCTCCTGAGGATTCTACTGTAATGCTAGATTGACCAATGAGACGCTTTAGTAAACAGTTGGAAAGAAACTTTTTATTACTGTACCTTTTATTCAGCAGTGACCAAGACTCTTCGTAATTTGCCTCAGTGACTGGTATTTGTCGTAATAACTGTTCTGCTTCTCCAGTCAAATGAGCTTTTAAATAATGCAACTTATGAACATTTGGCAAACTACTATTATTGTGGACAAGTGATACGAACAAATCTTTAAAAGTTGTCCACTCTATGTATTTACCGCTAAAAGTTGGAATTGTAATTTTCGGTAACTTTACATTAAAGTTAGACCCGGAGTTTGTTGAAAACTGAGGAAGTAACAAGTCGGATTCTAAACCAGTAACAGATGATTTTTTAATCTTAAGTAATGCGTCTTTCAACTCTGCCTTATAATCGTAATACAATTCTTCGGTCGTTTCGTACATGTTATTTTCACAATAGACAGATGCTTGAAACTCTGCGGTGTTTACATCAGAAAGAATTTGTAGGTGGTTGTCTTCAAAAGATTTCCATTGAACTTCTAAGTTCTCCAACCTCGCCTATTATAACTTTGAGTAAGACGTGCTTTAGGTGACTTTTTAAAATTGTCTTTACCATTACTAATAACTGACTTTACATGTTCTTGTCTTTTATATAATTTCTCCATGTTCGTTTCTAAATAACTTCGACTAAAATTAAATCAATTAACGAACGTGCACGCCACAATAAAGAAAATAGAATATAACCTAACTCAATAACAAAATAACAACATGAAAATTTTCAAAGTGAATGACAACTTGACAATCACAAAAATAACCAAAAATATTCTAAGTCCAAAGAGAATTTATTACAATTTTTCTAAGTGTTTTGCAATTTTGACACTTGGGGAAAATCGGGCATAGGTTCCCCGTCTAAACAGATTTCAGCCTAAAATTTTACAAGTCCAAACCACACTACTACTAAATTAATCCTAATAAACTTATGTAAATAAAGTTCAAATTCACTCACTCACTGATTGTTCCGCATGCCATACCATATGTGTTTCGTGTTCAGCTCCTGGACAACTCTCCAAAAATATTTCCAAAACTGCAGGGCCCTCTGTTGTCAAGGTTTGCTTGTATTACAGCTTCAACTTCGACTCGAACCCTTTGGAATTACTCCACAGCAGCAGCAGTAAAACATAACACGGCAATAGACAATAAATTCCTCAACTCAACCTGAAAAACTTTTTTGTATGGCGCGCTGAACACGTTGCCTAACCTTAATCTGGCATACCGTAGGACCAATGTTTAGTGTCCCAAAAAGGAGGTGGAACTAACTAAAGAATTAAACACCTGTTCCAATTTTAAATAGTGAGAGAGCGTTTATTGCTTTAATATAACATACTTATATTTCAAACAAAACAAAATGGTAACGTGATTCAGTGAACCGTTCCTGCCATCTATCGTACAAAAAGTAAAGTAATTCTAAACATTAAGGATACAGGAGAGATATCATCATAGCTGAACTGTACGAACTTGTGTAACATCCCCGTTACTGTACTATGCTCCACAATAAATGAGTTATTATGATTATTATATCTAGACTGTTAAAAGCAGTTATGAAAATAAAAGCTATACCATTGATTCGCAAATTACGGCGCGGCAGACCTTGCTTATTTATTATGTACTTATTTACTTTTAAACAAAAAATCATTGGGTCCTATGATTTGGAAGTCGGGTGGGGATAATGTTAAAACATAGAATATATTTTAATTTCCAATCGATGTTACGGTTTTCAATTCAATTTCAATCTTGACCCCGTCCGACTTACTTATCATACTCGCCCGATTTTGTGTGAACCGAGAAATCTACGTAATCGTGCTTCTTTTTTCTTTCGCGCCATCTGTCACTTCCGGTTTTAATTAATTTGAATACAGTGATCGATAAACTACTTTTAAATTTATAAAAAACATAATTTTAGTAATAATTTGGACAAAATAAAATAGAACCTAATACAAACATATGACGCGCCTGCTGGCACGCACCAGCAGCAAGCATCTATAGATGCTTGCGATACCAAGCTATCTCTGCTGTTTGAGGGTATGTGTTTATGCATATATGGCAGAAACCAGAAATAAATGCCAAGATTTACGGAGTGACCTTTTTACAAATGACTTAAAAACTGAAGTCATAACAGACAAAGTTCATTTGAAAACGAGATATGGGAAAAAATATTGTATCTATCACAGGAGAGAGCTGCTGGGGCTTCGCCTTCACTTTACATTCAGTACAAAGTAGTAAAGTATTTCTTTATATATAATTTAACCAAATAACATTATTATTAATATAAAGATTATATTAGAAATATATTTAAATATAAAAACCCTTTCTCAGTAAGTTATAATATCCTTTACATAAGCCCCATTTTGTGAGAAATCCGATTTCCTTAATGATTTTAGTCGATGACATTATAAATGTTAGTCCTACAGAATTTTACTATTTTGAATACCTACGCTCTAAATAAAGCTAAACGATTGCTTAACAAGTTCGTGATTATAATTTTTCTCTTAGAATTGGTATTTTAATCGATTATCTGGCCGGAATGCGGCTATATAGCCAATTTCTGTAGAGCTGTATTTCTAAATCCATCAGACCTACAGAGTTTCATTGGCACTCATATTGTAGAAAATTTTGTCTTCTTTAAAATGTACCTAGTCCAACCATAGGTTACAAATGAAAATGCATTTTTTATAAAGAAATCATGTAATATTATTAAAATTTATAACTACATATTTATTAAAGTCTCAACAAAAAATAATAAAATATTCGATTCGAAAAAGGTGGCCAACCTTTGGCTTTTATACGGGCCTTTAATCTGTTTGGCCACGAATCTAAGGATTTACGCACTGTTTCCAAGGAAACTTTTAATGTAACAGTATTTATGGCCAGACTAAAGTAATTTTATAGATAGGATAGACCTTTCAAAAGTTGTAAGCGAGAAGCCGAAAGAAGACCGAAAAGGAAAATCTAAACGAACACTCCGATAAGTTATCAATGAAAACTTTGTACAGTATAGGTAACATCTATTTACAAATAGAAATTCCGTTCTCCAGTAGGGGATGTTGGGCAAAACGTAGAAATAGAAAATGACATAAATAAATGTAAATAATATTCTACTGGTCAAACTTTAATTTTAAACCAATGATTTTCTTCGTAACGCTTCGTTTTTCATTTTCATTTTTCATAAACAACAACTCCGTATTATGCGGCAACTCATTATTATATTATATTATTTCACTGCGTATACTGGCGTTTTTCTTTTGATTATGGCCAAATTTTAATATTACATTCAGTACGTAGGTATACTTCATACACAACTGTCAATGTGACTGGCTCGGTGGAGGCTCAGGTACGCCGACTTTGGTGTAGTATTTGTTGCCGTATTTGACAAGTACGCCGCGGCGCCGGCGGTATCATCATCAGCGCCGTTTTAATGAAATGACATAAAAATGCACGCGGCGCGGACGTCCACTCCGTGCTCCCGCTTAACTTACCGCACGCTCTTAAAGTTAGATAATAAAGAAGGTTCCTGGATTAAAGTGTTGTTATAAATATTGATCAATCGATAAATTTTTCAATAGCTAGTTCCTGCTCCTAATAAATGTAGAGTAAGGCATTGTCACCGCACATTATACCTACGTTAAATTGTCAAACAAATATCTCCAAAAGTTTTTAATAAAAAATATATATTACTGTTAGGGCCGAGTTTTTCCGCTGGGCCTTTACAAATTCACTATCATGGTCGAATGAATGAGGTTACATATGAGAGTAATCGGGCGCGTCCACACGTTAAAGAAAACTCTTCATTGCGTCCAACGGAGTGGAACGGGAAAGTCGCGATGGTATTGTTGCGCCTGCCAGCCGCCACAAGACGAGATGTTTCGTGTGTGCGCAGTGCAATGCCGCATGCCGCGCCTTCCGCCGCCGTGCCAGCAGTCGCTTTATTAGAAACCCTCCCTAAATTCCTAAAGTTAATCAGCAGCAATGAAAATTCATTCGCAACAACGCCGACACATCATTAACGCATTCTACGGAACTCAAGTCTGTTAAAAAAATAAGAAAAGTGTCAGGCCTAATGTACAGAGACAGAATTTATCTCACAAATGTTACCCGTAGATATCGTTTATTTTAGGAAATAATCATAAAAAATATTAAAGTAATTTTCTTATATCGTATGACGTTTCGGTTATAGTTAAATTCCTAAAAATAAGATTATGACATTTTAAAGAGACTAGGTACGAAGCGTCGTAACGTTTTTTCGGCTCGACGGCTTCTAAGAGAGGTATGGCGTAGCGGTTTTTTTGGAGAACCCGTCAAGAGAATTAGCCTCTAACTTACAGAAGATCATCATCAACCTATTAATGTCCCCACTTCTGGGGCACAGGCCTTCACTATGGATGGAATAGGGAGATTGGGCCATGACCCACCACGCGGGCCCAGTGCGGATTGGTGGGTGCTGACGACTGCAGATGCAGCCGGGACCAACGGCTTAAAGGTGCCTTCCGAATCACGGAGGAGCTCGAGATAGCAAATTTTTGGTCACCCATCTCATGACCGACCACTGCGTAATTTGCTTAACTTCAACGATCGCAGCCGAATGCGCTAACCACTTGCGCTATCGAGCTCCTCTGCACCATCGAGCTCCTCATGTTTTGATATAAAATAACAGAAGATCACAGTAATATAACACTACCTTTTGGTGGTGCTGTTTTTCTGTCGGTGAGTAAGGTTCCAGAGCTCCACGAGGTAGGGGTTTGGGTCAGGGTGATCAGGGTAGGCAACGGTGCGAGTGATATATTTGGCATCGCAAGGTATGGTGGCCACTTACTATCAGGTGGACCATACACTTGTTTGCCACCCTTTTAACGGCTCTATGGGGTGGGGTTTAGGTAGACAAACCAATAAACTTGTTTGCCATCATTTTTACAAAAGGAACAAGATTATTACTAAAATTAATAAAATGGAGGAGCTAATGGCTCAGTGGTCATTGCGTTCGATCTGCGATCGTGAAAGTAGAAGTTAAATAACTAGCCCAATTGTCGGTCATCGGATGGGTGACCAAAATGTATTCGCTCAAAATAATTTTCTTAAGCTGCTCCGTTCTTCAGAAGGCACATTAAACCGTTGTTCCCGGCTGCATCTGCATTCGTTGGCAGCCGTCCACACTGGGCCCGTGTAGTAGATTATGGCCTTGTCTCCCTATTCCATCCATAGGGAAGACCTGTGCTACCTACTGTAGTGCGGATCTTAATAGGATGATGTTGCCAATAGGAAGATACCATAAGGCAATGAAATATATGAATGTATCTATATCAATGGTCAGATCACGAGAACTGATTATTTTTATATCAAAACATGCGAGTTAAAAGCGCTGTTTATGGTAAGAGCCTTGCATATCTTTATTTATTTTTTTAGTGATTTTAAAGTAAGTTTACGAAATTTGTTCAACTGCGTAGGACTGCGATTCAGAATTTATAGAGATATTATTAAATCTAAAGTAAGTAGCTATAAAAGGATGAGAATCCCATCACGTTATATCATTTATGAAACTCACGTTACTCGGTTTTATTACTTCAAGTCTGACGCAACCTAGAAGCTTATCAAAACAAGTTCGCTATGCGTCGAACAGCGAAATTGGAAGAGATCAGCGTATGCGCCGATGCGTGCGCGCGTCGCTGGATGCTCTGGAGCATCGCACGTGCACCCGTCATGCACTGGAGACTCTAAGATATTCACTCAGTTTGTCCTTAGACTTCGTGGCGCATGCACGCACGCCTCCAACAATTCATTCCGAGTTCGTGACTATGAAAAATCATGCTGGTGATAATATACATGTACCAGGTTTAGCATCAGTGCGTTCGAAAGCAGCACGGCCTGTGGCTCTGAATTAATCGTTTCGTGAGTATCTTTTTTTTTTATTGCTAGAGCTTTGACCGTTTGTAGCAGCCAGGTCGTGGTCGAGACCTCTGCATATGACCAAATAAGAATAAGCAGATCCCCCCCGAACCTGTTGTTCAGCTTGTTTGTCAAGATTGACGCGTTAACCCCTTACTTTTTCCTCTTCACTTCTGTCACCATTTTCAACATATATTTAATGTGCACAATCTCAAATGAAATCTGCTGCACATTAGCACCTGAGATAATGTGATTGTTTTCAAGTACAAAAATTCATTTAGAAAATCTAAGAATGAAATGATAAAATAAAAAAAAGTTTATGTGGATATATTTGTAATCAAAGTTACAAGCAAGCACTTTTCAATCATTATAAATATAGTTGATATCAGAGAAAGTCATAAGACACAATAATAAATTAAAGGTAAATAAAAACAGATAACATAACGTTTATTACGTTCTTACTATAAACAAGTTTCTTATAAGTAAAGATAATATTTAAGTAAGCGTTGCAATTATTCAGAATACAGTCCGATGTTTAAAGTTCTACTGCCAAAATACATCCGAACACTATTTTTCGACCACATCAACATGGAAGTCTCATGAAAAATTCAAGCCACATAACAAGTAGGCTTGTAACAAACAGTTACTTTATTCACGATTATTCTATCAAAAAATAATAGAACCGTTCACAAAGTATTTTAATGGGTGAAGCTTACTCAATACACTCATTGTTACTTTTAAATGTTGCTTCTTAGTTCTCAAGGAAAAAATAGCAATCAGAAAAAAACATCTTATAAGAGTCTCGTAGGCCATTATACATCGTAGACTTTATTTTCATAGTGGTCTTAAAATAATCCCTATTTAGTAATAACGATGCTTTAAAATATTCAAGACAAGAAGACGGAGCCAATAGTGGCTACTTACACCATTAGGGCAGAAAAATAATGGACGCTAAAAACCGATGACTCCCAGGGAGCAGCCGCAGGTAGCTCTACTTTCATTTACATAATGCCTTACACACACTCCTCTACTTGCATCGAGATAAAATAAAAAAATAATTACTAAATTATACGAACGGAGAGCCTCACCCTTCATTATAAAGCCTTCGTATGGTCATCCACTCGGAACCAATTCAATTATTATACGAATTGCAATTACTGAAGTGCTACAACAGTTTTCATCAGAAACCAGAAAGAACAATAGCCACGTAAATATCAACATAGAAAATTATGAGTTTAGACAGTTTACTGTATCATAATTACTTACCACGTCGATTAACGATACAAAACCGTTCAGAGAAAATCGTTTCGTGAGATACATACATAATGTCACGTTTACTAAGTAATATCTTTTTTCAGTAAGTATAATAATGTTTTAAATCAAAACTGTTGTTATAAAGGTATTCCTTTAAATTGTTTGTAAATCGATTATATACTTAACTATTTTTTCTTACTAGTAAAAGACATCAACGCATCATTGACTTTTACTATATTTAAGTAAAGTTTTGTATCGACAATTTTTTATTATAATTAATACTGCCAGTTTGATTAAGTAAAGTGTTCAGTTTTATAACCATGATAAAGCAATTGATTAGACAAGCAGGTGGTCTGCAAGTTTTTATTAGATAAGTAAGTTATTCATCAAAGTTGTGATCAATAAAATCACAGACTTTATAAAATGATTTCAACCACGGCAGTTTCACCTATGTATTTAGAGATCTTTTTAAGCAAAAATAACTAGATATTTTATTACACAATCTTAAAATACTTAGGGTTCCGTAAGTACGTAGAGCGTGTAATGATTTTTTTAGACGTGTGTTACTCGAGCTTAACAATCACTTTATAGCCTGCGCAGACAAAATTTCTGCGTCATAGACTATAATTAATTAAAAAATATTTTGTTTTGCAGGGCAAGTCCCTGAATCTTGAAGAAAATGTCCGCCGACGACTTATCACGCACTCAACGCACGATGTGCAAACATTTTTTGTCCCCTCCAAAATTAAGAAAAGTGCACTCTATGGAAGTAATAATATGCTCAGATTACATTGTGTTGAAATGAACATGAAGTTTAATAAAAAGAGAAGACGTTTTAAAAGAGATCCATTCCTTTAAATCAGATCGAGCGTGGAAGGCCGACTAATATTGCGTCTAGTCACATGAAATCTATATTTTTCGCGGACACCCGCCTACTTCGGTCCTGTCCGGTCTCTTGGTGTCCTCGGTTGTTCGGGGGACTTTTTGTGCAAGGAGCTTTTAATCCATCGTGTGCGTTATTCGATGCAGTTATGTAAGCGATCTATTTTCATCATCATCATCAGCCTATTAAGCCGTCACCAGCAATGGGGACATTGCTGGGGTACAGGCCATATGGATAGAATAGGGAGATTAGACCTTGACTCACCACGTGGACCCAGTGTGGATTAGTGGGTGCTAACGACTGCAGATGCAGCCGGGACCAAAGGCTTAACGTGCCTTCCAAAGCACGGAGGAGCTCGAAATAGTATTTTTTTTGTCACCCATCCAATGACCGCCCCCTGCAAAAGTTGCATAAGTTCAACGATCTATTTAATAATATTTTGGCAAACATAAAATACCGAGGACAAAAGTCCTTCGTGCGCGCAGGCTATTAGTATTTCACTTGAAATAAACCTTCCTTGATAGTTCGGAACCCTTCATACCATGCGAGTCCGACTTATACTTAGCGAGTTTTTTTAATTATTCAAAAGACCGGTCTGGTGCAATCTCTATATTGAACGGCTACACATCGAATACGAATTCTCTTTTGTATTGTTTTAAATATTCTCATATGAATAAAATAAATACATCAAGTATAATATACCTTTTATTTACGAAATTAAAAAGGTTCGTTGCACTATTACTTCAGTTTATTCGTAGTTAACAACAAAAGTGTTCAGTAAATTGCATCACGAATATGTAATTACGAGTTGCATTACAGTAATAATCATCTGTTTACGTGTTAATGCTGAAAAACGTAACAATATTTTGTAATCTCTAAAACCGATTATGGAAAGGTTGCGATATTATATGTTCTTAAAAAATTTTGAACTGTTTCTGAAATTAGTAGGTACCTAATACCTACCTTTATATGTGTCAGGTAAATAATATTAGGTATTTTGCTTCATAGACGTTCTGCAAATTAGGCTTAGTGATCATAATAGAAATAAATGCAGAGCAATAATAATAGAAGTAAAACATCTTTAATAAAAAATATACCAAGGTTTCCGTTTTTTTTATAAAGATAAGATAAGATATATATACACAAATCTAATTTTATCTAATTGTATCTCCTTATTTTCTAATGAACCATTTGTAAACCAAGTAAGTACTTAGTGTAAGACAACTAATTACCTTAAACTTTTTTTAACTTACATTGTAATTTGATCAGAATGTGTACCTACAGATTAAGAGAGAGCCTACATCATCGCAGATAAAATCGGAAAATACTCGAAAAATGTATAGGTATAAAATGCTAGAGCTAGGTATGCGTCTGTCAAGTATACATATATAAAACTTTTTAGTTATACGTCTGGCCCAAACAGAACAGGTTCCCCGCGTCATATTAAATAAAAAAAATATAGCCTTGAGCGAGCACCTAAGTTAAAGCGAAATGATTCTCAGAATAAGGCTCCGAGAAGCAGTGTGTTCGCGCGGGACAGAACAGCCCTGACAATGAACTCTGCGTGGCGCGACGATGTGGCACCATGGTGTCCATAGAGCGGCTACGAATAAATCAGTCTTTTACGACGATAGCTGGATTTTACAGGCCGCTAGCCGTCTCACGCCCTGCCTGCCTGCGCAGTCGCAGTCGGCCGCCTTAATAGCGAAAATAACGTCCGGACAATAAATCATTGTAATTTAAGACATTATTATTACCTTTCCTTATGCAATTTAACGGAGTCAGTCGAGTCTTAAATCGACAATATTATAGGTAGACGGAACAAACAAATCAGTTTACGTTGTTTGTATGTACGGTTTTGTTTGATATAGACACAGGCAGCGATCGAAATAGATACCGCAGGTATATTACTTCGCGTGCAATAAATATGCCAAAAGAGAGACGAAACGTCTTATTATTCCGATATTTTATTTCTGTTTCTGTCTGTCTTTTTCTGTCCTCGATATGGAAAACAATCGCATTTTTTTTAAATGTTTAATTATGCCATAATAAGCTGTAAAAACGATAAAATTGAAACGGGTTGCCGGTGCCCATGCTTTTCCACTACTTAATTTTTATCTACTGAAAATATAACTCGCTCGATTTTCATACAACTTGTTGTCTACTTAAATCTAGGTCTGTGGTTACATATATGTAGTGATAGTAGGTAATTAGCGTATATTTTACAAATGTAAATTATCTACTAAGACATATTTTTTAAATGAAATGAAATGAAATGAAATGAAAAGTCATTTATTCAGTCTAGGCTGTTACAAGCACTTGTGAAAGTCAAGAAGCTACGCCATCGGTTCGCAAAACTACGGCGGGAGACCTTGTACTGAGAAGAACCGGCAAGAAACTCAGCAAGGGCTGCTTTTTTCTCCCTGTATAGATATATACAGAGTCGTCAAGTTGAAAAATGACTTCAGACATACTTCTGAAGTCACCTTCCATTACATTATTTAGGGTATAGATATATAGTTACAACAAATTTTATATTTAGTATATATAGGAAGCGGCATTAGATAGGTACCATACTACTGTTACAAAACTGACTCATACCCATCAAATAAGAAATTACAAGAAACACTATGTCCATGCATTACGATCATTTAGATAATCATTAACTTTATAATAGCCCTTATTCATAAGAGTATTCTTAATCTGAGATTTAAATTTGGTTAGTGGAAGCTCAATCAGATCTTGGGGAACTTTGTTAAACAATGCAATACTACATCCCAGAAATGAACCTCTAGATTTTTGGAGTCTGAAACATGGAAC